ATGGGCAACGATGCACAAGTGTAGCTCAACGTTAGCAGTGCATGATAAATAAGGTGGTGGGTGGCTGGTGTTGGGCAGAGAGAGGGAGCGCCCCTCTGGGGTGTCAGAGTGGGGCCACTCCCCTTCCCAGCACCCTGCTGCTCTCCAGGTCTCCAAACTGTCACTGAACGGCCACCAAAGACAGACAGCTCCGCTTCGGAGAAAGTGCCGGGGCCTCATCGCAACATCTCCGGGGCTGGCAGGGACCCTCCTGGCTGCTGACAGAGAGGGGACACTGACATCTGCCGGCAGGTCGCACCCGGCCCCGCAGCGCCCAGGCTCGGGGTGCCCGGCCCCGGGAGCACGGCGGGGCACGGCGGCCCCGCCACTGCCGCTCCGGGGCAGCCACAGCGGGTCCCCTGGGCACGACAGGCCACCGCTGCGCTTTAAAGGCACAGAGTTTTGTTTCTTACTGGAAAGATGAGTGTTTAGGGAAGGGAAGGGAAGGGAGCCTGGCAGCGGGGAGCCCCCGGGCTCCCGGAGCTGTGCCGGGCAGGCGAGCAAACATCTCCCGGCGGGTCACGCACCCGCTGCTCGACCCGATGCTCCGGGTGGCGGAGCGGGGCCCTGCGGTGCGCGGAACGGGCGATTCCCCCACGGGCGATCCCCCCACATGCTATTGATGATCGGGGCCCACCGGAGAGATGCGCGTTTTAACATTTGCGGGGGCATCTCCCCGGGTCCCTGCGGGCGCGGGGTGTCTCACATCGGCGTTTCACACCGAGCAGCGCACTCAGCGCACAGCAGCAGGTCCCAGCATCCCGGCATCCCGTTTATCCCGGTAGCCCGCCGGCACCCGGTCCCTCCGGGCCGGTCGCAGCCGCCCCTCAGCGGCCGGGCCCCGCGCCGGGGTGGCTCCGCCCGGGCGGGACCCGGTGCCCTCCCCCTACACCCGAGCTCGCCGGGAGGCTGCGAAGCGAGCCCGGAGCGGGGACACAACTTGACCAAGGTCACCGAGCCAGCCGGCGTCGGTGCCCGGGATCTCCGCCCCTGCGGGGCCGCCGCTCGCCCCGCAGCGCCCCTTCCCCAGCCCACCACCGGCGGGACCCCCGCCGGCTCAAACCCCATTCCGCAGCTCCTCCCCGCGACCCCGCAGACTCACGCCAGGCTCCAAATCAGCGCCGGCGGGGCACCGGCCGCCTCTCCTTGGCGTCCCGCTCCGATCGGCTCCGGCTCAGCGGCCCCGGGCGCTGCCCCGCCTCCCCTCAGCCGCGGCCGCCGGGTCCGCCGCGCTCCGCGGGGCCGCCGCGCCGCGCCGATAATATATGCAGCGGCCGCAGCCAATCAGAGCCGCAGCCGGCGGTCCTTAGCGTTCCCATTGGCCGGGGCGGGCGGGGCGTGGCGCGGGGGTCCCGCTCCCGCCTCCCGACCCGGGGTTAGAGAGCCCCGGGATGTGCGGGATCGGGGAATGGGGCGGCTGGAGGCGAGCCTGCAGAGCATCCCGGGATATGCGGGATCGGGGAATGGGACGGCTGGGAGGCACCCTGGAGAGCACCCCGGGATGGGCGGGATCGGGGAATGGGGCGGCTGGAGGCGAGCCTGCAGAGCATCCCGGGATATGCGGGATCGGGGAATGGGACGGCTGGGAGGCACCCTGGAGAGCACCCCGGGATGGGCGGGATCGGGGAATGGGGCGGCTGGAGGCGAGCCTGCAGAGCATCCCGGGATATGCGGGATCGGGGAATGGGACGGCTGGGAGGCACCCTGGAGAGCACCCCGGGATGGGCGGGATCGGGGAATGGGGCGGCTGGAGGCGAGCCTGCAGAGCATCCCGGGATATGCGGGATCGGGGAATGGGACGGCTGGGAGGCACCCTGGAGAGCACCCCGGGATGGGCGGGATCGGGGAATGGGGCGGCTGGAGGCGAGCCTGCAGAGCATCCCGGGATATGCGGGATCGGGGAATGGGACGGCTGGGAGGCACCCTGGAGAGCACCCCGGGATGGGCGGGATCGGGGAATGGGGCGGCTGGAGGCGAGCCTGCAGAGCATCCCGGGATATGCGGGATCGGGGAATGGGACGGCTGGGAGGCACCCTGGAGAGCACCCCGGGATGGGCGGGATCGGGGAATGGGGCGGCTGGAGGCGAGCCTGCAGAGCATCCCGGGATATGCGGGATCGGGGAATGGGACGGCTGGGAGGCACCCTGGAGAGCACCCCGGGATGGGCGGGATCGGGGAATGGGGCGGCTGGAGGCGAGCCTGCAGAGCATCCCGGGATATGCGGGATCGGGGAATGGGACGGCTGGGAGGCACCCTGGAGAGCACCCCGGGATGGGCGGGATCGGGGAATGGGGCGGCTGGAGGCGAGCCTGCAGAGCATCCCGGGATATGCGGGATCGGGGAATGGGACGGCTGGGAGGCACCCTGGAGAGCACCCCGGGATGGGCGGGATCGGGGAATGGGGCGGCTGGAGGCGAGCCTGCAGAGCATCCCGGGATATGCGGGATCGGGGAATGGGACGGCTGGGAGGCACCCTGGAGAGCACCCCGGGATGGGCGGGATCGGGGAATGGGGCGGCTGGAGGCGAGCCTGCAGAGCATCCCGGGATATGCGGGATCGGGGAATGGGACGGCTGGGAGGCACCCTGGAGAGCACCCCGGGATGGGCGGGATCGGGGAATGGGGCGGCTGGAGGCGAGCCTGCAGAGCATCCCGGGATATGCGGGATCGGGGAATGGGACGGCTGGGAGGCACCCTGGAGAGCACCCCGGGATGGGCGGGATCGGGGAATGGGGCGGCTGGAGGCGAGCCTGCAGAGCATCCCGGGATATGCGGGATCGGGGAATGGGACGGCTGGGAGGCACCCTGGAGAGCACCCCGGGATGGGCGGGATCGGGGAATGGGGCGGCTGGAGGCGAGCCTGCAGAGCATCCCGGGATATGCGGGATCGGGGAATGGGACGGCTGGGAGGCACCCTGGAGAGCATCCCGTCCTGTCATGGTCAGGGACACCTTCCGCTAGACCAGGTTGCTCCAAGCCCTGCCAACCGGGCGTGGAACACTTGCAGGGATCCACATTCCCAGGGTCTCTGGGCCGCCTCATGTGCCGGTCATCCCCGGTGAGCAGCAGGAGGTCGCTGTCAGTGACAGCAGATTTCGTGTTCTCGGATGGTTTTTTTATATGTGTTCTATTTATCCCTCTGGGTGCTTCACACCTCCCACCAAACCCCTTCCTTGCTCCTCTTCACGCCTCCTTAGGCATTCCATGGGCACCGCTCCTGGGGGTGCATCCCTTTTCCAAACCTTGAAAGAACCTTGTTGGAGACACCCTCTAAATAATGCAAAATTTAAATTTTTTTTTAATTTTATTTTTCAGAATGGAAAAGCTCCTGTTAACAAGTTTGTATCCCCTGGTGAAAGAACAGCAGTGAAAGAGCCTTGTGGAAGTCATCCAGTGGGATTGCCCTGTGCTCCCCAAAAGGAGCTCAAAAGGAGGGCCACATCCTACAAAACACCACTGCTGAATTTTCCTTATTTTTTTCCTGATTTTCCTTCCCCAGTTTCCCCCATTTGGTTTTCTCTTTGTTTGGGGTTTTTTTGTTTGTTTGCATTTTTTTTTCTGATTTTTCCTGATTGCTCCTGATCCTGAGCCCGTTGCTGCTGGAGGGACAGAGCACTGCTGAAACACACTCCACTACATCCCCACTGGTTTAGTTCAGTGCTTCTCCCTGGTTGTTGAAAATGGGTAATTTCTGGTCAGCATAGTTCTTCCTGCCCAAAGTGTCATGGAAGTTAAAAATACAGGGGGTTAAAAAAGACAGATCAGTCTGGGGAAAAGCACCCACTGCTTGGGGTGTGTGGGGCACAATGCTGTCCCCCCTCAATGCCCACCCTGAGGCATGTTAAGCTTCACAGCTGGCACACATGAGAGAGGAGGAATCCAGGGAAACCCTCACAGGAGGAGGTGGAGAGCTCTGCAAAAGAAAAATACAAAAAAAAAAAAAAATCACAAATATCTGCTGTGTGTGGTTTTCTGTGGAGGTGCCCGGTGGGATGGGGCTGTCCCCATGAGGAGATGGTGTGGAGCTGTGGTGTGGGAACTCTGTGATGGCTCCACACCCTGTTCCACAGCTGTCTGCTGTCAGGAGAGTCCTTTTGGGAAAACCACACCAGCAGAACACAGCCATGTATTCCTGCTGGGATGAGGACTGGCCATTTCCCCCACCGTGGAAGAAAAGAACATTTTCCATCCGAAGGTTTTGGCTGCAGCGGGGACCACAGGTGTGTGCAGGAAGGTGTGGCTGTCAGACGAGCTGCCAGTGCTGCTTTGTGCTTGCTTAAAGAGGGTGAAAATAAAAAGCATCTGGATCTGGGAAAAAGAACCAAATCCAGCAGGTTTGGGGTTGCTCTTATGCTCCATATGTATATACATACATACATACATACATACATACATATATATATATATGTGTGTGTGTGTGCATTTATTTATGTATACACATATGCACACATACAATGATATCTATTTCATGTAAACTTGAGGGATTTAGAGGTCTGTGACTTCTGGTGCTTTGGGATCCACGACTTCTCCTGGCACTTATTTTGGAGGTCAGTGACTTCTTCTGGGATTTCGGAGGTCAGTGACTTCTTCTGGGGCTTTGGGTTCCATGATATCTCGTGGTGTTTTGGCAGCCTGGGATTTCCCCTGGGATTTCGGAGGTGTGGGATTTTGGAGGTGTGGGATACATCCTGTGCAGCGGGGGTGGTACCTGCGCGCTATTCTCCGTGCAGAACGAGGCCGGGCAGTCCCGCATCCCTCCCGCCACCGCATCCCTCCGCGGTTCTCCCTCTTTCCCAGGAGATGATGGGGAGGGAAACGGGGCAAGAGGCGGAAAGGAGAGGCGGGCGGCCGGGGAGAGCGAGCCGTGCCGAGCCGCGCCGCGCGGGGAGGCGCCGGCCCGCGGTCCCCGCCCCTCGCCGCCGCCTCCCGCCCGGCGCCGGGAGCGCGGCGCGGGGCTCCAAGATGGCTTTGGCCGGGCTGTGCTCGCTGCTGGCCGGCTGCTGCCTGGCCGCGGGCAGCGGCCCCGCCGAGGCGGCGGCGGAGGCGGCGGCCAAGGAGCTGGAGTGCAAGCTGAAGAGCATCACGGTGTCGGCGCTGCCCTTCCTGCGGGAGAACGACCTCAGCATCATGCACGGCCCCTCGGCCGCCGAGCCCAAGCTGCTCTTCTCGGTCCGCAACGATTTCCCCGGCGAGATGGTGGTGGTGGATGACCTGGAGAACACGGAGCTGCCCTACTTCGTGCTGGGTGAGCCTGCGGGAGCGCGGCGGGGCCCCGAGCATCCCCGGCGGCGGGGCTCCTCCCTGCCGCACCGGCGCCCTGCGGCGGGCCGGCCCCGGGGCCGGTACACCCCGCTGCAGCATCTCGGCCCCGCGGCCGGCTCAGCCCGGTGCCGCTTCCCCCGCTGCAGCATCGCGGCTGGAGATGCTGCAGGCCCGGGGTGCTCGGTGCGTGCCCAGGTTGTCATCCGCGGGGCTCGATCGATGGCCACCGGCGGCTGGTGCTGGCAGGAGGCCCGCAGTCTGCTCCCAGCGTGCCCGGCTGGAGATGAGGGTTTCTGCTTTGTCTGCCCCCGAGCAGAGTCACCTTTCCCGCAGCCTGATGGAAAAATACTCCGCTGCTCAGTCTATCCCACCCTGCTGCCTCCGGTGCTTCTGTCCCCAGGTTTTAGGCTCTGGCCTATTCACGGTCTGGATGGTTCCCACCCTGCTCTTCATCCACTGGGTGAGGCTCATCTGCACTTAACTCATGCGCTCCTTAAGCCCAAAAAGAGCAAACAATTTGCTCCTTTGTTTATGCAGAGCGAGGCCTCCACCCCGTGTGTGCAGGGACCTGCTTCCCTCCTCACCATCTGGAACAAGTCCCTGAGATGTTTCATTTTTGGTGACATTGGTGTAGAACGTCAGTTCCTTGGCCACACATAACATTCTGCCCTTGGCAAATGCCACCATCACTTTCCTAGCAGCCCCACAGTGGCTGTGTCACCTCTTGCAAGCCTTGCCCATCTGTTGCTTCTCCGGCTGCACCTTGGGTGTCCCGTGAAGTTTTTAAAATGCCACCCTTGTTTGGAAGTCGGTCCAAAAATGAGGTACTGGTGTGTTGCTTGATGTGACATTGCCCTGCTGTACCACCCTGGTGTATAGTGGTGACCCTAGACTGGGTTTTTTTTCCCAGCAATTCATCACTTCCATGGCCTATGGACCCCTCCATGTGCTAAGACCCCCCAGTCCTGGTTGCTGGGTGGGCTTGGGGCAGCACTGGCTGCTGTGTGGGCATCCCCCTTCTCCCGGGAGAAAGGCAGAGACAGGCGTGGGAGGTGCCGTGGGAGGGTGTGTGGGGACAGGCAGGGGTGATTTCTGGAGTGCAGGGGCTGTGTGGCAGGGGCAGCGGGCTGTGCTGTGCCCCTGTCTCCCGGCCCAAGCCCTGTGCTGCGGGATGCTGCAGCGAGGCCGGAGAGCGTTGCTGTGGCAACAAGGCAGCAGCGCTGCGGATGCAGGGGGGACGCAGCCATGGCCGCCAGCCCCGCCACCTTGGTGCCCCAAAGGCCACCTGAGTGCTCGTCCCCTGGCCCCCTCAGACCCGATCCTGCGGAGCCAGACCCCCATGGGCCCCGGGACCTCGGGTGCTGCCAGCAGGGAGCACCTGGGTGGGGATCAGGAGGAGGTTCCTGGGCATGACCCCAGCCCTTACTGTAGGGTTTTCCTCAGGGATTTTTCAAACCCATGAGGTACCACAATCTGGGCAGTGCAGGAAAGTAGCTGCCTGCCCTGGCAGCCCCCGCTGGGCTGATGATGCCTGGCAGGGGTTTGCTTCTGCATCCTTCTCATCTCTGCTGCCACACAAATACAAGGACGACAAGCCCTGTGCCAGTGCAGCCTGATGTCCTGGTGCTGGGCAGGCTCTCTGGGGCATTGCTGCTTGGGACATTGATCCCCCAAAAACGAGTATTGCTGGTGCTGTGCCAGCCCACAGCATGCAGGGGTTTGGACTGTGGAGACACAGAGGTGATCCCAGTTCAAGTCTTCCTGCCTGGAATACTGAGGCTGGAGCTGGCTTGGCAAGAGGGGGCACCTTGTGGGACCCCGTTTGCCAGGGGTTTGGCTTGGTGACTTCTAGGAAATGCCATGTTACCTCTCCCTGTGAGACAAGGGCTTGCCTTGAAGCTGGCATGGCCATTTTGCCATCTGTGGGTGTTACTGTTTTGTGCTTCTTTACTGTGTGGGATTGTTGTTTTTATTATTATTATTTTTATTGTTATTATTATTGTTATTACTACTACTACCACCACTATTAGCCTGGACACTGCTTTTGCATGACAGAAGCTCTGAAATGCACAGAAGTCTTGCAAGACCCAGGCTTGGCAAGTCACAAGCTGCAACGTCTGGATTTGGAGGTTCCCCAGCCCAAAAAACTCAGGAGCATCAGTGCTGTCACTGCACACACTTCACACTCGCTGGGGACATGGCTATGCCAGGTTGATCCCTGGAGCTGGCGTGAGTGGCTGTTTGTGTTTTCACAAGCCCTTGTGTGGGGACTGGAGGGTGTGTTTGAGCATCTTCCCAGAAATGGGGCTTCACACAGTGCTTCTTGCACCATGCCTGGCAAAAGCCAGACCCGTTCATTGCACCCATCTCGCTGGGTTTGAATGTGTAATAAATAATGTCTTGGAGTGGGGGATGATCCCCACACGCTCCTGAGCCTGGTCTGGTTCAGTGTCTGAACCGGGGGGAGCTGGGCAGCTGCTGCTTCTTCTCTGGTGGTTTTCAAATCCAGGGCTTGTGCACAGCAGAGGGGTTCCCAAGGGAACGTGAGCTACCACCCTGGCTGGCTGGCTTGGAGCAGACCCAGGTGCTGCCCTGGTCAGAAAGGGCCTGGGTTTGGGCTGGAAGCACCATGAAGTGCTTCAGAGGCTCATGGCAGTGGCTCTGCCATGTGGGCTCTGGATCAGCTCCCTTTTGGGGGGGGTCTCTCCATGCCTCACTTTCCTCTCAAGGAGCGTGTGAGCATGCAGGTAGGTGGCTACAGGATGGGGATGAGTGAAGGAAGCAGTTGGGAAAGGGTCTGGATCAGGGAGCCCGAGGATGATGGGATATCATCCACCTCTGGTCCTGGTGGTTATCATCCACCTCTGGTCCCCTTCAAATTCCTCCTAAATAATTCCAGATCTTTTGAGCTTGGCTAGTTTTCATGGACACTGCCATGTGTGGTTCCCCTGCCTTGGTGACACCTCCCTGCCACAGTGACCAAACCAGGCCTCCCACTGATGGATGGATGGATGGATTTTTCTCCCAACTGTGTGGGATCTTTGGAGAGCCATGGATGGATGGATGGATGGATTTTTCTCCCAACTGTGTGGGATCTTTGGAGAGCCATGCATGGTGCTTGTTAGAGCTGAAGTGCTGGGGGAGTTGTTGAACTGGGCATGCCAAAAACAGCTTTGACTCCTGACCCCTGATAACCCCTGACAGGGAGCTCTGGTAACATGAATTAATGATGAGCTTTATATTTATCTTCACACAAGAGGGTGAGGCAGTGCTGGCTGCCTGCTTTCCGTGCACTTTTTTGGGTCTCACTCTCCCTGCTGTGTCCATCCTGCTGCCAGAGACACCTGTGAGTGCTTTGGCGCTCAGATCTCCCAAATGTGGGGGCCTGCTGTCTGCTCCTCCATTCCTCCAAAAGCAGATGGGCTGTCTGTGGGGTTATGACTTTTGCGAGGTGCTTGGACAAGGCTCTCCCCTGCTTTGCAGCTCTTTTTGCTAATGAGTGGAGCGAGTTTTAATTGCGCACGTGCTGCCTCACTGCCTGCGTTTGCTCGGGAGCAGCTCAGGGCTCTCACCGATAAACCCCACACTGCTTTATATGTTTATCCCCAAAGGGACTCCAACACCATCTCCCCATTTTACTGTAGAGTTTTCTCCCAGCTCCTGAATTTCTGGGAAGTGCCAAGGGTGTGGGAGCTGGGATGAGGCCGCTTGCTGCGCACCGGGCTGCCCGCATTTAAAATCACCTGCTTTCATCCTGCTTTAAACCAAGCAAACCTTCTTTTGGAATGGTCGCCTTTCATCTCATTTTGTTTTTGTTGCATTAGTTGTATTTTTTCCTGAAGGGAGGAAGCATTTTGCTGGTTGGTGGCCATTAAGAAATGCTAATTTGCAGCTCAATATTCCCTGTCCGCTCACCTCCACACCCCCCTCTCCCTCACTGCTTGGCTCGGCAGCATCCAGCCACGTTTGATATGTCATTAACTGGATTCACACTCCTGCAGGCTGCTAATTTTTTCGGGCCCCATCCTTTGCAGGTTATAAAGTGGCAAGAGGGGTATTTATGAGCATCCTGGCTTCCCTCAGCCCCTCGGGCTCGACGGAGATTTGTGATGCAATTAAAAACCGCGCCAAAGACGGAGTCTTTGACTCCTTTGCCTTCTCTGTAATGCAATAAATGTTTGAAAAGTAAAGTCTTGAAATACCTTTTTGAGTGTAAAATCGACTTGAGGAATGAGAAAGCAGAGCTGATGGGTTGAACTCGTGCTTTCTGGGTGCCAGATATTTCAAGATCTTGAAATACTGGATGGTTTTGGCATGCTGGTTTTTTTCCCCCTGAGTGTGGAGGAGCTGAAGGAGCTGCTTCTGCCTCTCCAGGTTTCCAGCCCAGTTGGTGTGCTCTGAATTAGGGCAGTGCAGCCCCTCATCTCCCCACTTCCCACTCCCCACTGCCCTCCCGGGAGCCTCAGCAGCAGAGGATGGGAAACGGTTCTTAACTTCAATGACTTTAATAGATTATCATAAACTCCAGCCTTAATACAAGCTGTCATGATTTCAAATTATCTTACTTTTAAATTAAATAGATTCCTTTTTAAATACAAAATCAATTCTAATTTTTTAGAGGGGTGAGATTTTTCAAAGGCACCGATGAGCTGGGCATATTTAACTGCTCTTGAATATCTCCCCGAAATATCTAATCAATTTTTTTTTGTTAAATCCTAGCTAAGCTCTTGGCTCTCCTGCTGGAAGCTCTGGCCCTGACTTCCCTGGGTTAATAACAGGATTTGGGGGGGGGTTTGCAGGGATGTGAGGCAGATGAGGGAGGGATGTGGCTGCTGCTGATCGGGGTGACGGCCACCGGAGCGCCCGCCTGCCCCAGCTCTGGCCAGATGTGACACCTGCCACCTCCCATCCTCGTCCCACACATCTCCCTGCTGCTGTGGGCTGCTGGAGATTGTGTCCTCCCACTCTGCCCTCTACCCCCAG